CCCCTGACAAGAGTCCAAGAATTCCGCTCTTTCCACTTTACGCGACTCGCAAATCGCGTGGTCTACATATTTGTCTTCAGTGCTGTACGTGAAAGGGAAGTTTAATGGATTTAGATCGATGATTAGATGGAATTTCGAAGATGGTGGGGAAGTAAGAGGAGGGGCAATGTTCATTTGTTGGGCCCAAGCAAAATCTATCTTGGCTAGTACACATCGATCTTCACAAATATACAGCATCTAGGTATAAGACTTTGAAGTGTATCAAGCAATTTGTTCTTGCGTTCCATTCAATGATTATCTGTGTACGTATTCGTTTGTCGGTGCAATATAAATTTTCCTTTACACGGTGATTTCCCTGTAGAATCGAGGATTCGCTACCCCCTTCACATACATAATTCATTCTTCACGCGCCGAACAAGACCTGATTTAGATATAGTACTTATTACTTGTACAGCTAAGTTTAGGAATGAGGTGGGATGAGATACTAAACGGATAGCGATTCGGATACATCAAACCTAACATGAAATTCACCTACTTTATTTAGCTGGTATCGTAACCCTGCTTAATACCTATGCTCCATCCATCATCTGAGCATATCACCGTCTATCCACCCGCTATTTTCCTTTGCTATCTTCCTGCACTTACATCCTACATGCCGTATGCGGATGATTGATATGAAGGGGCAAGGTGCATAAAAATAATACGCTATGTAATGTATTGATGAAGGTTGAGCTCGATGATGTTGGATATGGTTTGGTCTGGTTTGGCAAAACTGGAAGGCATGGACAGATTCGTTCCGCTGCCAGTGTATTGTGTTCACCTACTTCCTTGCTCGCCGGTCGGTCCTGTTTTGTGTATGCAGAGCGGGGGCGGAAAACGGTGGCTGCGATGAAAGAAGAGTGTGTCATACCATCGTCTTTTGTTGGTGATCCGATAATTGTTTTTAGACCTTCTTGCGTGTGTGTCGCCATCATTAATCTGAGTCAGAGTATAGAGTAACCCTCTTGGTTCCAATTCAATGTTCCATGGATTCCTTCACCTGGAAAATTCCTTGGAAGGTTGGGTTGAAGGAGGACCGAGGACGACGCATATTTCCATCTAGCTAACAATCGCTGTACTCCTTGTTCCGTTTCCTATGTTTCTCCGTAACCTACCGCCGCTTCAAATTGCCTGCTTGTACGGAGTAAGTGTTAGCTTTGGAAATTAGTCTGACTTGTCCTTGCTCTTCAGAGGCACATGTCCGCGCGTGCCGTTTTTCACTCTTTCTCGGAACACACGCTGTACGAAGTTGTCGTAAATTGAATTTGTCAACCGCGGTCCAATGCTCCACTCAATTCGCGTTACAGCTCATGCGACCCTCAAGCCTTTCTTCAGGTGGTGAGGGGAAGGCTCAGAGGATGCATCCAGTAATATCGAAATGAGAACCTTGAAGTCTTGAGCACACTCACAAGAACCTTTGCCCGGACCCGGCTGCGGCACAGCCTTTCCAGTTCTCGAATATGTGTGTGGGATTGGATCAAATGGATATGGATACTTTCTATGCTTCTCTGAGAAAATGCACGTTAGAGAGTTACTATTTCACCGCATCCATTTTAGGAGGAGTTTGAGATCAAGGAATAAGGAGGGGAGGATTCGAAGGAATGATATGATTCGGGGCATTGATTGACGACGCCTAGGTATGGATAGCATCAGAAGCGTGACGCTGATTTATCAAATAGAGTGAGCGTGGTAAGACCATCAGAACTTGATTCTAAGGTTCCAAACTGATATCACAGTGACATTCACATTCGTATCTTGGAACGCAGATAAAAAGTCTCTTAACGAATATCTAAAACTAGTTGAGGAGGAGGGGACTCGGGAGGGGGCCTTTGGGACAACGGTAAAGCATGTTGTAAGTTCTATAATTGTATACTTCGTAATTGTTAGACGACCTGCTCCGTAACCCGTATTTTTAGGAGGTGAACGAATGGAAAGCGTGTTCAAACTTCAAACTTCAAATTTCATACCTGGATATCAACCTGGATATCAATCTGGATGTCAACCATTCATAGAACGATATAAGATATTGAATACAGGTAATATTGATCGACTCCTTGGGTTTCGGTTTGACTTGCATGATAATTTATAAATGCTTCTAAAAATTTAGCTAATAGGGAAAGAGAACTGAGAACTTTACTTGTCCTACTCGGTACTTTACCAAGGATCTTCATCGTTGTGATATTGTCATATTGTCACATCAACGGGTCAAGAAAAGACCTCAATTCTCCAGTTTTTTTACAGTCCACGCAGCAATGTACGAAGTAATGGATGTCCTACTCAACTGAAATTGACTTTTACACCATGTGTGATTGGCTATAGGGTCTCGAGATGGTCTAGGCAAGATAGGACAATCGGCATCTGTCTAATCTAGTACTTACTGCATACGAGAAGAATTCGTCATCTATTGAGTCTTAACTGGCTGTAACTCATTGGGGAGAAGAACTATTAGATCTCCCGGAACAACTTTGTAAAGTATGCTCGGTATGGTATATATACGAAAGAAGCTATAGTATCTAGGTAAAATACCTTGCTGCTGCTGGTCCTTTTCCAATTTCCCAATCGAATCAAATCTTGGTGTGGTCTTTTTTTTTTTTTTTTGGCTTTGTGGATGGCTCACTGCAGATGAGTGGCCACAAGCGCCGTAGACCGTTCGTTCTCTCATTTTAGCGTGGGGAGAGTGGGATTGGCATTCTACATCTCTAGAATTTTGAACACTTGTCTGGGATCATTTTCATACATACCCCAGTGTGATAAGCTCCGGCTTCTTCTTTCCTTCAGCTTGCAAGTTGAAAGTGGGAAGGAACCTCAAGGAAGTGAAAGGCAAACAGAAACCAAAATCATTCGAGTACCTAGCGAGAGTAGATACGCATTTTACCTTGTACGGTCAAACCTGGTATAGCCACTCGAGCCATAATGATCAAGTTTCAATCTATCTTGCATGCCCTGCAACACTATCGATCGACTGATAACTGGCTACCTATTGGAGTGACTATTGGCACATCGAAATGCGAGTCTACACAAGTACGCTCGGTCTACAACTTGGTCTACAAATTTGTTTGGTACGGTATCGTTATTCTGTATGGTAGCACCCCTTATGTCTAGACTTTGGGATGCGACGGTTACGGAAGTTGCCCCCCTTTCCAATCCTACACTATCTGGAAGGAAAGAAAAAAACCCTCGGCAGACCCAAGATAATTTTCACAATATACTTTCTTGGGTGCGGATACTACTAATGGGATAAGATGCTCACCATTTCTAACATGGAATCGTTTCGAATACGGTATCAATAATGTTAGGCCAGGCTGAGCAACGCCGACAAGAAATTTGGACTCGAACATTATGCACTCAGATACCCGGCAAAATTCCACGACATCACGGAATTAGCATTTGATTCTCGCCATTCTAAGACTGCTAAGCTACCGGCCACTTAAACCCATACCTACCCATACCATGGCATCTTGTGGCTGTACTATAATATCATGCCCACGTAATATTGTAAAGATACAGAACCGCAGAAATGGGCGATCTGCTCGGTCAGCTTGTTCGACGTCGCATGCAGAGATGCTTGCCCGTTGTGTTTATGATTACTAGCAGGAAAAGAAAAACGACAAGTCATTCGTGTTCTTTACCGGCTGTGCTTGCTATCTGGCTACTCATCAACCAACTTTTCCTTTCCAGCGTTACACCACCACTTGAACAATCTGTCATGCTACTCCTTTAAGCCCCCCACCGAACAACACGGCAAACTAGATTTACCTTTCCCGTCTTTTTCTGCTGCTAAGACCTACCTAGGCTTTCCAAATATTACAACCAAACTCACCGGTCATATGCAGACAAGCTGTCCTTGAAAGCTGGCTGATCTTAAAGGAAGGAATACAAGCCTGCTCGGTAGGTTCAGCATGTCCTCCGGTGCAAAGGACCCCCTGTCGCTACTGCATCTAATCAATGCAAAAGGCCGCACACCCAACATCAGGTAACATCTCCAGGTTGAAAACTGGATCCCTCATCAGCAATTCATCAGCAATTCGAATTCGCAATTAACACATGTCTACCAACCATCGACGCCAACACTCCTGGATCATTTGATTGAGAATCCATGTTCCACACATATATCACATTACAATATTTCACCATCTTAGCCGGGCTGCCTCACCTCATGGGATGGATTTTCCAAGTGATAATCTTCCACCTCCCGAGATTCAAACTCGCATTAAGCGATCAGGCCGATGTCTTATATGAATGAAAGACTAAGGGTCTTACTATCACCATGAACACATCAGCAAGAGTCATGATTATATGCGCGTGCCCAGGAAGGTCTCAGCGATTGGAACTCAGGTACTCTATGAAAAGAGAGGCCGATTTCCCATCAAATATCCAGCCTCGTACATGTTTTTGCGTGAACGGGTAGGTTGCAGAGGAACATCCGGCCAGCCAAAGTCTGTTGTATGTCAAGCAACATACGCCCCGTACCCGCCCGTTGTACAAATGATCCCGAAAACCGAAAGTGGAATTGTTCTTGTGGCTAAGATTGTGAGCATTGTGGTTGAGATTGCCGCATACCGACAGTTCAATCCAGGAAATACGATGGGTGCCACCATCGTCTTTTAAATTTGACAAGTTTCCAATTCATCCTTATACATTATGCTGGGCCAGCGGGGAATTCGCATTTCATTTGGATCGTAATTCGTGACTTATCATAACGAGCGTACTACTTAAGGTGAAACGATGGTAGGTCGGTTGTACTACTGGCAATGTCGTCAAAGTTTGATATTGGCCGGTTTCCTATCAAGCATTATTCCAAAAGGCCATGATCAAGGACAGATTGTAATGGATATAATCTCTGAGTGTCTAATTTTCCCAATGTGATGTTGCTCACGTGAATGTCATCTGATTTTATGCCATCACCAACCTCATGACTAAGGCCAAAAGTTCTATTTTTGGTCGGTCGAAAGAGTGGTTTCGCCGCCAACGAGAACTACCTAGTTGCCAGGGGGCATACGAGATGTCCAAGATTAATCAATGCTATTGGTGCATTCTTTCTCCCCCTTGGTCGCAACGACGACTCGCCATCATTCACACATTCACAATCTTTGCATTTCATCAAAATATTGCTAGATTAATATCGACCTACACAATTACGATCGCTAGTTTTATTTTTGCTACACCACATTCACTTGCTGCAGTTTTGAGATAGCTGATAACCATTCCATTGTGTTCGCGGGCATTCCTCGCGCCCAACAACATTCGACTTCCAACCTCCTCAGAATATCTCTAAGTACGTCGAACGACAACAATATAATTCACGATGGGCTTTGGGGACTTTTACTCGATCTGCGAACAAGCAGCGCTTCCATTATGTGCAGAGGTCGGAGCGATAACAACAATCGCGGGAAGTCATGGCATTGAGGCAAATTGTTATTCGCGCAATATTGAGTTGGCCAACACGATCATATTTCAAGGAGCCGCAAGCTTCGTACACATCCTCGCGTTAATTATGACGGTTATTATGATATTGCACGTCAGGAGTAAATTTACTGCTGTTGGTAGGTTAGGCCGGGGTGTATCTGAAGATGAAGAGTGAGTAAAATGATGGAAACTAATGCAACATTTTTCAGGCCGAAAAGAAATCACAACTTTCTTCTACATATATATGCTCCTCACATTCTTTACATTACTTCTTGATGCTGGTGTTATTCCACCTGGGACTGGACCATACCCATACTTCTCGGCTGTACAAAATGGTCTCACATCTGCCCTTACTGTCTGTTTATTGATTAATGGATTTGTTGGATTCCAATTATATGAAGATGGAACACGAATTTCAGTTTGGCTCCTTCGCTCAATCAGTGCCGCCATGTTCATCCTTACGTTCCTCGTTTCCCTCGCTACCTATATGTCCTGGGCAGGACTTGGACCCACTCGAACTATTGGACTCTTCGTTGTGCTATACCTACTATCTGCTATTGAGTTAGCTATTTACGGTATTATGCAAGTAATTCTTGTTGTGAACACTCTCCAGGATCGTTGGCCATTGGGTGAACTCTCTTTTGCCTTCTTCTTCTTCGTCGCGGGACAAGTTGTTCTTTACGCTTTCAGTACCAGCATTTGCAATGCTATCAGCCACTATTTGGATGGATTATTCTTCGCTTCAATCGCCAATCTTCTCGCAGTGATGATGATTTACAAGGTCAGTCCTAGTTCTATATCTGAATTTTCTAATTTTATACTGATTAACACTGTAAATAGTACTGGGACTCTATCACTAAAGACGATCTTGAATTTTCAGTTGGTATCAAGCAGAACAACTGGGAAGTCAAGGACCTTCTCGAAGATGACCGAAGAACCACTGTGTATCAAGACATGGACTATCAACACAGTCCCGGTCACCAACCTCGAAACTCGAATTATGGCGGCTTTAACTACTGAAAAGCCATATTGTAAAGCTAGGAAGTAATCGAAAACCGAATGTAATGGTGGAAGTACAGATGGGGGGTGATATGGCATGAGATAAGAATACCAGGGCTCATATTGCATTTTATTGCATCACGCGAGCAGAAACTGAAAGGCTGGAGAGGTTTTGAAATTTGGCCGGGCGTTTAATTGGATTGGGCGTTTTTGTATGAATCCATGGGTCTCTTGTAGATAGCAAGGGCTGTTCTAATCGTCTTCTTGGTCAACAAAATGACATGGCATGTAAAATGAGCGGAAGGGGGCGGTTGTTAGTTTTGGGATTGAAGAGGAAGCGTTGTGGTTTTTGAAGGGATTGGGAGGAGAAGAAGTTGGATATGCTTTGGAGGGGGCAGGGGGAGATGTATATCGATTGGAAATGGGAGAGAATGGTAGCGACGAAACTGAGATAGGGTAGGGGGTAGGAAGGGTCACGATAATAGCTTGTAAAGCGACATACAAATATGATATATGAGTGTTGTCTGCGAATAATGTTCCCATCTCATACAGTATGTCTCACTCTCTTTCTCTGTCTTTTCTTCTGGTGGTTCGATATTTGATATCATACACGAACTGGTGACTCAAAAAGATCTATAACCCAAGTGGTTTGCGGGAATCTTTCCAGGTGATACGTTTTTTCCCCATACATATTAGAATGAATCCCGAGCCAAGGCTCTTTTCTTCACCTATAATGTCTTCATTCGAATCCAAATTGACGCAGAACAACCCATCAAGAACGATTCTCAGATATACATACATACGTATATACACTGAATATTTCTCGCAAAGATCTTCTCATCTATTTCATCCCGCATCTCGCAACTCCAACTCGGAATGGGGGTTACGAGTACTTTATGTACTTAGGTATGTAATATGTAATATGTAATATGTAATATGTAATATGTAATATGTAATATGTAATATGTAATATGTAATATGTAATATGTAATATGTAATATGTAGTATGTAGTATGTGTAGATAGGTTTCTAGAAGGATATCTTCTTAGAGGGGTTGGGGGAGATGTGTTGTATTGTATTGTAAGGTTTAGTGATTTGATGTGATGTGAACGCGATATCTCACAATGTAGGATTGTTTGGGAGGGAGAGAAGGGAAAGAAGGAGGGAGAATGTTGGTGATTCTTTTTCATGATTCGGATTTTGATGTGTTGGAGGGGTGTTTGTCGTATGGGGTGTGGGTGGGGTGTGGGTGTGGAGGTGGAGGTGGAGGTGGAGGTGGAGTGTTTGGTATTGATATTGCGGTCGCTGGGTATCTATTGACGTTGAGTTTTGGTGGTGGTGATGGGGAGTTGGGAAATGGAATGCGAAGACGGAAAACGAGGATGAAAAGAGTCGATTTTGATGCCTCGCATAGTTGAAGTTAATGATTCTTAGATGTTCATTCACTTCACTCAGGGTGGATTGGTACTGAGGGTGCACGTACAGATGAAGTATGTATATTGATAATTGTCATAATATTCTTTCTTAAATATTTCTATACAAGTACTTGGCTAACTCCTCTCCACGCATTATTGCTTCGCGTGCAAAATCAAAATAATTCTCATCCATCCAACCATACACAACTACTTATGTATTTGAAATTTGCCCACTATAATAATATCCGTATCCGTATCCCTATGCACATACCCAAGTCTTCTTTTCTCCAAACAAAACCTACAACCTCGGTTCCACCATTCCTCTCCATCCAGCCTCCTGTGCAATCATCTCCGCTGCCCTCTCTCCAATTGCCAAAACTGTCAACATAGGATTGATTGTAGTCATCGTTGGGAAAACACCAGCATCCGCCACTCTCACACCCTTAAGTCCTCTGACCTTCAATTTCTCATCACACACACTCATCTTGTCCTGCTCACTGCCCATTTTGGTAGTTCCAGCTGGGTGATAAACGGTGTGAGCAACCTTTCTTCCGTATTCGGAAAGTTGTTCATCAGTTTGAACTTCTGGGCCGGGTGCTACTTCACGGAGAAGCCAGTTTGAGAAAGGTGCCTTCTTTGCGATTTCACGTGCGGCCTTGAGACCGGCGACAATGGTGGCCGCATCGTAGCCTTCGGGATCGGTGAAGTAGCGGAAGTCGAGGGCGGGTTTTACAGAGGGATCGGAGGAGGTGAGGTAAATACGTCCACGGGATCTGGGACGGGGGATGTTGGGGGTCATGCAGAATGCATTTAGAGGGGCGTCGTAGCCTAGACGAGCAGTGTTGAGACAGAAGGGGATTTGGTAGCAGTGCATCATGATATCTGCAATGGTGCCATCTGGGAGAGCTTTAGGGTTGAGTTCTGGGTGGATGTGGTTTTTGGCGGCGTTGGGGAGTTCACGACGGAGGAAAATACCAGCGTCACTGTCCATGGTAGTTTGAGGTGGTACGGGGGCATTGAGTTCCCACATGATGATGGATTCGGGGTGGTCGATAAGATTCTCTCCTACACCTGGAAGGTCGTGTACGACGGGGATGTTAAGGTCTTTGAGTTGTTGGGCAGGGCCAACTCCAGAGAGGAGCATAAGACGACAGGTATCGACTGCGCCAGCACAGAGGATAGTTTCGGTCTTAGGGGAGACGGTGAGTTTCTCGCCGGATTTCAAGGTTACGTTTACGCTCTTGACAGTCTTGCTGGAGTCAAAGTTAAGTTTGCTGACCCAGGCATTGGTGAGGATAGTCAAGTTTGGTCGACTCTCGGCACCGCGGAGAATTGGGTGAATGTAAGCGACGGAGGCCGAACTCCTTCGTCCATCATCTGGGTTATATGATACTGAGAAGAAACCAACTCCTTGTTCGAGAGCACCCTTTTCACGAATCTCGTGGTTGAAATCATGGATGATGGGAATGTCCATGGCAGTAGAGCAAGATTGGACCCAATCCTTACAAATTTGATTTCTGTGGCGTGGATGAACAGGGTTAGTTTGGTTGCGGAGGTTATCAATGAGACGCATCATGGTCTTGAATCCCCATCCTTTACATCCCAAACTCTCCCAAATTTGACAATCATACTCGAATGGACGGAATGATATCAGAGTGTTGTGAGAGGAGCAACCTCCAAGAACCTTAGCACGTGAGTGTCTAATGTATGAATTTCCTATATTCTGTCAGCATCAACTTCCAATGCTCCGAGAAAAGTCATAATCACCATTTGGTTGTTCCGTGGTTCCGTAGTCATAATCCAATTCTCCACCAAGTAATGTAAGCCATTCTTTGAGTTTCAATACTTTGTCATTATTGAAATCACTAGGACCACCCTCAATCATAAGAATCTTCTTATTTGGTAAGTATTCGGAAAGTCTGCTAGCAATAACACATCCTGCTGTTCCACCTCCAACAATGACATAGTCAAAGTCGTTGACTTGAGATGGGGATAGAAGATCGGTAGTCATTTTGAATACTTGGTCTGATAAGTTTTGAATATCCAAAAGGAAAGGATTCTATTATATTCAAAAGAAAAAGATCTAAATAAGAAACGATGAACGTATTTGTAATAGTAACGTGTAGAAGGTCGCCCTCAGGTGATTTCTATCTAGGGATTGAGATTGATGATATCCTAGTCGGGGAGGGGCTGGAAGTGGATTCCCAATCGAGGTTATTCGGTATAATCGTATAAGGCGGTATCGTAAGAGGCTATGGACGATCGAAGACGGACCCCCTGGGGTTGACTATTGCCTGCCAGGCATGCAAAGATATAAAATGATAGATAAAAATTGCCAAGTAGGGAAAGAGGGCGCGTGGTCTTTTGGATGGTTTGACTTATGAAATGACGGTGAAGACGAATCCAGATGGAATTTGTTAGTGAGAGAGAACGGAGAAGAAAAAATTAGTTAAAAAATGGAGAGAGAGAAAGATGTCTATCTAGCCTTAGGAAACTAACTTCCCTCCTAGTGAATGTTTAAGAAGTCCTTTACGAAGTACCTGGTAGTTTTACCAAGTTATCAAGGATCTTCAATCCAGTAATACTGTAGTAAAATTGACTTTTTGGTCAAGAGAATGAATGAATCATGGTCATGCCATGACTTTTTTGAATCATGTCGTAGTAATCGTACATGTAGATGATAGTTTGACTCTGTCAGTCAGTCGATCAGTTGAAGGAGATGCCAATGTGTTTAGGAAATCATATAAGGTTATCATTAATCATCACTTCGATACTCTTACTCTTGCTAGAGTAGTATGGATAGCAGATACCTACTCTACCGATATAAACCATCTCAAACAATGAAATCATATGCTGCACAAAGAAAAGTTTAATCTGAGGTCTGAAGTCTGAAGTCTGATGTCTGATGGAAGTCAATGAATGGATGATTAAATGAATGAATATCGTAGTGTTCAAAGGAAAACTTTTTCCTGGTGCTCTGATGTTGTTTGATGTATTGTGTATTAGACCAAATGAGGTTTAGATCTGGTCAGCTTTTCTGGGGGACTGAAACATGTTGACCAATAATGACTTGTATTGACACCCAGTTGTTACAATCTAAGTTAATGTAAAATGCCAAGCCGTTACTTTTAACCTGGTCAATCGTCGTCATTACCAAATGAAGTGAGTTTTTCCCTACATACATCCATACATCCATCCATCCATCCACTCATCCATCGTACATAATCTTTCTATCAGACTTCAAGCAGTCAAAACTTCATTCATCTAACTCTCCAGGTAAAGTCTTTCACTCTCCGGAGTATACGATCCACTAGCTACCGTGTCCCCCTCGTCTTGTCTTATCGATATCGATATCTATTCCCCCTTGACTTATCATCCATATCAATGCCATTGAACTTCCCATCTTGCTCCTCCTTATCATCATCTCCAAAGATTCACAAGCCCTCCCGCTATCTAGATCCATCTACGGAGTACGGAGCAGAGGTGGCTGGTCATCAATAACATATAATCGCCTCATCTGCATCTACAATCCCCCGAGAAGAAGGCGATTTCCCGTATCCAGTATTCCGCTCGGTATCTGGCAAACGATTCTCTTTCTGGTCCGACATTCCGCCATATTTGACAATTTCCATCTTGGATATTTTTCATCGTATCCAATTTTTCCCACTCCACACTGGCCACGATTCCCAATTAGTATTGGTGTAGAGGTTTGAATCAAGTCCACGAGGTCCATTCCAGGAATTCACTTCTTAGCTACCGAAGAATACCGGTATCAAGGGTGTGCGCTCTCCTTTTGCCCCACTAAGGAAATTATTTGCTTCGAGACCCATTCCCTTCTTTACCTCATTGTGTAGTATCATCCTAAGGTTTTCATTGGTGAAAGAAGTGAGTGAGCATTGAAAGTCATTGAGTATCAGCAGAAGATTGATCATCAAAACTTATCCTCAAAATGTCTACATACGCAGAACAACAGCTTTACTATGATGGCAAAGTCCAACAAGCAACTTCACAAGAAACATTCACAACAGTCAACCCCGCAACAGGAAAACCTTTAGCACAGGTACAAAAGGCTTCTCCATCAGATATTGATTCCGCGATAGCTTCGGCACGCAAAGCATTCCCATCATGGTCCCAGACACCACCAATTGTCCGCTCCCGAATCCTTCTCAAAGCCGTTCAAATACTTCGCGAACGAAACGATGAAATTGCTAAGGTGGAAACACACGATACAGGCAAAGCTTATTCAGAAACCAGCGCAGTCGATGTTGTTACTGGAGCAGACGTGCTAGAATACTTCGCAAGCTTAGTCGCAAGTGGGGGAATGAATGGCGAAACTACACAATTAAGACCAGATGCATGGATATATACCAAAAAGGAAGCTTTGGGCGTGTGTGCCGGCATTGGAGCTTGGAACTATCCAATTCAAATCGCTTTGTGGAAATCTGCACCTTGCTTAGCAGCTGGAAACTGTATGGTCTATAAACCATCGGAAGTAACCCCATTACACGGCCAAATCCTCGCACAAGTTTATGCAGAAGCTGGATTACCACCGGGAGTCTTCAACATCGTACATGGAGATGGATCAGTAGGAGGATACTTGACCACCCATCCAGGTATTGCCAAAGTAAGTTTCACAGGTCAAGTTTCAACTGGACAAAAGGTTGCTGCTTCAGCAGCTGGCGGCATGAAATATGTTACCATGGAGTTGGGCGGTAAAAGTCCTCTCATAATCCTCCCAGATACCGACCTTGAAAATGCTGTCGATGGAGCCATGATGGCCAACTTCTACTCGACCGGTCAAGTCTGCACAAATGGAACCCGAGTTTTCGTACACGAAAGTATGAAATCGGCATTCGAGAAACGTCTTGTCGAAAAGATGGAATACATTAGAGCTTTGGAACCAATGGATGCCAACAGCAATTTTGGTCCTCTCGTCTCAGAAATCCATCACAAGAAAGTGCTCAACTATATTCGACACGGAATTGAAAATGATAAAGCAAAACTCCTCTACGGTGGTCCCGAAAAACCAACCAATATCCCAAGTGGCCATGAATCAGGCTTCTGGGTTCGCCCTACAGTCTTCACAGACTGTACAGATGATATGCTTATTACCCGCGAAGAAATCTTCGGTCCAGTTCTTTGCATCCTCACATATTCTACCACAGAAGAAGTTATCCGTCGCGCCAACGATACCAAATTAGGATTGGCAGCTGGTGTCTTCGGCAAGAATATTAATGAATGTCATGAAGTGATCGGTCAGATTGAAGCTGGCATCACATGGATTAATTCATGGGGAGAGAGTCCTGCGGAGATGAGTGTAGGAGGTTGGAAAATGAGCGGAGTAGGTGTTGAGAATGGAAGGAGGGGATTAAATGCTTGGGTTAGAGAGAGAAGTACATTAGTGCAGAATGGAGGTGGAGAGGTGGGAACCGTTTTTTGTAAATTGTAAATTTGGAGTTGGTGGTGCTTAGATAGATAGATATACCTGCATTTGAGGGAGTTGAGGAATTGAAAGTTGAGAAAGGGGGTTTGCTTCCCGCATACATCCTAAAATCTAGATTATTGGTCCACATCAATGAACGTAGCATAGACGTGTCTTGTGACACTGGTCACAGAGGTCACAGAAAACATATCATTCTGGTAGAATGAAAAGAACATTCAACATTCTGCCTGCTCGTCTGAGGTCAACTAGAGACGAAATCACATTTGAGAATGTCAATCTGTAAATTCAAGTATACATATCTCGGGACAAGGGCGAATAGTGAACATCACATAGCAGTACTTTGACCTTATGTCAAGGTCAAAGCTGTCAAAAGACACAGGTATAAAAAAGAACTTTTTTTTTTACATCTACTCAGACAGAACTGTTCTCTCTTTACCTCACCTTTTTTTTCTTCTTCATCTCGTTTTCAACCATTTTCTGCAACTCGCCATCAACTTTCTCCAGCCCTTTGAAATGGCAACATTCTTGCTAGTGCAAGATGATTGTTATCATGTAGCCCTCTGCATGAATATTGCCATTTTCGTACTCCAGGCCAAAATCGGTATCCAACATCGTCATAAATATTGAGGACAAAATCTCCGTCATTCTCTGATTAACTCTCATGTGTGCAATCTTACAAAATGCTCCGCTGCGTTACCTTGAATGTCAATTTCTATGTTCGTACATCGTAAGCTCATAATATTCGTCATTCGTAGATACCAGGTATTCGTTGTTCGTCCAGGGGGGGGGTTCCCCGGGGTTTTAGCTTTTTGGAGTTTTTTTGGGGATGTTTTTTGTCGATGGGTGCGCTTCCGCTTGGTGATACACAAGGTAAAATTCTCTCAGAAGATACTGTTCATTATAGTCGTACAAATTTCTCTTGGCGGCTTTTGTTGTATTTCTGTACCTCTGCCGGGAAAAAATCAATAAAATGAATCGATCAAGCCGAAGTCATGACTGCAACAGGTGCGGCAAGTGCCAATCTTTGAGCTCTGATCTCGATTTCTGTGGTGGCATTAGTTGCTTGTCTTGAATATCAGAACCATCCCAGTGGATATGTGCTCACCTTCTCTCAATGTCGGATCGGAATCACCGCTCTCGTCATGGAAATCCTCGAGGGAGCCGAGGCGATCACTAGCAAGATAAATTAGCTAGAGGTCGCGAGGAAAGAACGATCGACGGTTTCATGGGGGACATACTCAGCACGAATTTCAGCATTGGGGTGCAACTTTTTATAGCAATGAACAAAGTTATCAAGGTCACTTTCCTCGGCAATTACAATTCTCAACCTCGCGCTTTGAATCTCGACACGGTCATAACGTTCCTCGACTTCCGCCTTATACTCCTTCTTCGATCTCGGCCTATAAATCTCGATTCTGCAGTTGCCCGACTCTCTGTGATAGAAGCCTCCAAGAATCCAAGAACCATTGACTACAAACGCGGGATACTTTGAGGATTTGTTATCAGCGCCATCAAAGGGGTGCAAGACTCCATTTTTCGCGAGCACCACTTGTAGGCTATAGTTATGACCGAATTGTTGCCTAGGATTAAGACTACCTTTCGTGCCAGACCAGGTAACAGGGTAGGAGCGAGACGGAGCGCCAGCATCATAAGAAATATACTCGATAGGAATATGAAGAACGAAGTGTAGTACAGCCTCTGTAATGCTAGTCTTGTTAGTAATAGCTGTTAGTCGAAACGGCTCTGGGCTGGAGGTTCTAGCGCCAGCGACTGCTCCTCGTGAGGAGCCTACATGACTATTTCTTGGAGTCAAGATCCTTGATTGCATTGCATCTACATTACTAGGTTGATGGACGAGACTTGACATGTGTGCTGGCTCTACATTTATAGATCGAGATACCCCGGTCACCTCTGAAGTTGACTCCTCCTTGATAGCCTGTTGCCGACCAAATTGAGGGGCTTGGCCAGTCCAGTTCCTACTCGCACCGCTGGCACTTGAAGGACTGGTTGCACTTGGGCGTACTTCTCGGACTCTATATGCTTCATCATGATTTTCCTGAATTTGAGTCGGGGCTCCAGTCTTCGAGATCTCTGTATTATCGTAAGGATAGCTCAAATTGGCGTCAGAAGCCTTTCGCTTTAAGGGAGCGGTCAGTTGGTCCTTGCGGTGATACGTGCGTTGTTTCTTTCTCATGCTCGGGACATCATCGGGAAGTCCAGTGTTCGACAATGTCTTTTTGGGAGCGCTCATGAGAGGTCTACTGATTTGTGACGACGAGTAACCTTGACGTGCGATATGTTCAAAGGCAGGAGGGCAGCTGGGAACGTCCAATGTGGGGGTATTGACCAAAGAGTTCAGCGCATGAGCTGGTTGAATCTAGCAGAAACTGAAATTGATGGTATAGAACCATTCTGAAGGATTGTTGCGTTCCTCCCGGCCAAGGCTACTATATCGCCCTGCGGTATCCACAGGGGGGCACCATGACTGAGCATGAGAAACCATAAGGCTTGTCAGAGGCCATGCCCAGCGATTGTGTTGGAACATGAAATGTCCAAAGGGTCTCGAAAATAGGATGCAATCATTCATTGTAGGACTTGTTTCTCTCTTGATCGAGGTAGATGACAAGGCCTTAGTCTCTGACGATTAATCGAGTGATCATCATTTGAAGATGGTCTGAACTGAAAGGCTTGCGGCCATAGGAGAAGAAGTCCATGAAGCTCCCATCGGTGGAGGAACTCTGGGTTCAAAGTCTGGAGAATCCATGAAAAGTGATTGATTATCATCTGGGCTAGCCACAATGAATTGATCCCGAATCACTCTCTCAGTTCGACCTCACAGGGCATCGTCAATTCACTAGCGGAACTAGTAGATGGGATATCGATGGCGGCGCCAGTGGCTGTGACAGAGATCGCAAGACCAGAACCCAATGTGGAAATACTGTTTTCTTGTAACAAGCTCTTCGACATTCTCTGCAAAGATTTCCTTGGCTCTTTCGCTGAACTCTTGACTTTGCAAAGTTTCTTAGTATGCAATTCTTGAAGTTTCTTGAAAGATCTACCACTTTTCTTGAACAATTCTTTCTCCAAATCTTCTCGCTCCTTGGTACAATCTGCCTCCAGTGCTTGCAACTTTTGCAAATTTTTCTTGTAGGCGTTATCGATTTCCAAAAGCACATCTTTATGAAGAGTGGCCTTAGCACGACGTTTTCGATCTTCCAATTTTGCGACGGCGACATTATATTCTTGTAGGCTTGCTTGATCTGCTAAGTCATAGCTACTGCCTTTAGAATTTGTATCGCGCTCCATAAGTTCTTGAAAGACAACTTGCATCTCCCGATGGTAGGGCTCGGTTTTTTCCGCTGTGGGTTTGAGTTTTCTGGATTCGTCCATCTTGTAAAAAGAAAGAGGAAAGAACAGGTGGGAGAAATTGAATTGCAATAATACCAGAAGCCACTGCAAAGTGTGTGCGCTTCTCGTTATTTTGGGAAAGAGCGCCTCGGCAATTGACAAATGCAAAGCCAGTGAGAATGCAATGGTGAAACGATGTACTTTAATTGAAAGAAGAAGGAAGAAATCCGTTTCCCAAAGGAAATAGAAAGAAGTCCAAAAAGATTTAACCAATCGATCTTGAATTTTTTGTGTGTTGTAAGGTTTAGGAAAAGGTTGTTGTGGGAGATTTGTTGGTGGGAATATCATATGGGTAATATTTACGCGTGAAATTGCCCTGAAATCTCTGTTACCATAGCATCATTTCAATTCACTATCTCCTCCATCTGGAATTTTTTAATTGGTCACCTGAAGCTCAAGATTGAAGTAAATAGAAGTGAATTTTGGGAGACGGAAGTCTCTGATACAATTATGAATTTGCATTCGTCGAACTCCACTGCTCCGCCCATCACAGTCTTCTTGATATCCCGAACTTCATATCATCCCGGCTATTCGAGGAAGATACCTAGATTTAGGAAGTTGAACATGCAATGGCTTTTGACTCGACCTCAAGTCTCCGAGTTGGCCATGGTTTCAACCATTATGTTCATCGTCAAGCTCTCTGAGAATACACAAACTAGAACCATAGCTGCAAGAAGTTCATTCACTTTGATCCACAGCTCCGTGCCTTTTGTTCCTGTGCCACCTTCACCCCATAGTAGACGTTTCAAGAACATACTTTCCACATTGAATTCTCATCTCTTACAACTTCATCCTAACAACCTTGAACGGCAAGTCCTCTTCGGTGATCTCATCAAATCCCGCTGCCGGTACAATCTTCGCGTTTCTAACACCATCGCAGTCAATAACCGTGTACCAATGAGAATGGAAAACTCACCCAACCACAAATCCTTTCCCACCTCATAAGCCCTCGCCTTCCCTCTCCCCTTTGCCTCCTTCGTCAACTCCCTCAGTCTCACCTCAAATCCATCTTTATTCTCAGGCCTACGCTCACCATCTTTACTCTTACCCTTACCATCCTTGGCATCCTTACCTAGTATCCCTACCATATTCAAAGGTTCCAACAATCTCAGTTCGTGACTCCAAGCTGGTATTTTCCTAGGCCAGATGATTGTTGCTTTGAGACTTTTAAGCGACTTCATGGACCCGATTATCATCCATGTACGTTCCCAACGGGGCACGTCGTTAGAGGAGGATTCGTTTATAGACTGTATGGATGGGAAGGTTAGCGAACTGTTGGGAATGAACAGATGTGAGGGCAGAAGGGGAGGAGGAAGATTTGGGATAATGATGGGGTGAGAAGGAAATGGGTCAGGGAGGTTGGTATTTGAAGAGACCCAGAAAGTGCGAAATCAAAGAATTGATTGTGCTTCCGAGATGATTGTATCAAAGGAGAAATCGAGGGTTACGGAGGTTATGGAATCAAAGCGATGGGGAAGAATCTCGTTACTGAAAGAGATGAAGGATTCCATGCTGTCGAAGTTGAAGGTGTTGGTTGAGTAGAGAAGAGAGATTGCCTCCGAGTAAGCTATATTTGTTAGCTTCAAGTTTTGCCTCATCTTTCAATGGACACTCAGATATCTGATCGAAGTAGGAGAGAGACACAAGGTAAATGCGAGATAAATGTGAAATATAAGCATACATCCGTCTACAAACCTGTAGCAGCTGAATCAAACTACCACTCCTCTCCCCAATTCTCTCATGCACCCCACTCCCGCCAAGGATCTTCACGCCCCTACAGCCCGCAACGATACACGCATCCTCCTCTCTCGCCCCTACATCCGAGTCTTTTCTATCACATGTACAAACAACATGACTGCAACTTATCCTTCCTGCTGATGATATGTAGCACCTTCCCTCCAAGCACCACTTATAAATCTCATCCTCGACCTCCGACCGGCAAATTCCAAAAAAAATGTACTCCCCTTGACCAAAGAATTTCCTCTCCAAGGCTCCCACTTTCATCCGTATCAACCTCAAACACCATCCCAAAAACCCCCCAATCATAACCCTCACTCGGCTTCAGTGGCCTCTCTCCTTTCTCTTCGTTCTCTCACTAACAGGCGCTGGAGGCACGTAAGATTTACTCGCCTTTCCCGTATACCTATGTTGTTCATACGGTCTCTTGACCGTCTTGTATGGTTTACTTGGTAAATGTTCCGAAGAACGAGAGCCTGGTAGTGCATCGAGAGCCTTTTGAATGAGATGAGCAGAAAGACGTCTTCGTTCTGGGCCCCAGAGATGGTTTCTAGACAGCGGAATGTGTTCGCTAGGTGTGGTTGACATATTGGTGTGTTTTCATATCATGTAGTTCTTGTGGTATGATATCTCTAAGAAGCCGACAAAAGTCGCGAAGTGTGATTTAGTTACAGATGATAGTGGAAGACGTTGCACATATTTCATGTTTATAAATCGGTGAGGTTGGTGCCAAGTAAGCCATCCCATTTTGTTCGTAGGATACTGGCAAATCGGCACCGGGTTTTTTGTTCTCACCGAAGGAAGGAAGGAATTCACCTTGCATGAACAAATCATTTTGTGATGTGCAGCCAGGGATTGGCGCATCATCATACTCATTTAGACTCATTGTCAGCTTACACCCTGGACATTATGAGTCGTATACTGCATAGATCTCTCTCCAGTATTATTCGCATGGTGGATAATGGTTGACAATTTGCTTGCATTTGTTTTCTTTGAAATGTGACAGAAAAAAATCACCAACAGCACGCTGACATAGTGGACCTTGGGGTAGGGACAAGCTCGAGACTCGATAGAAAAAAGTGAGCACAAGATGCCAATCACGTGATCGTGAGACACCATAATTCGCAGGCGTCGTGGTGGTGGAATTCTAGTTTGGGTATAGGTTAGAGGCAGAGAACATCTACTAGGGGTATTATGAAGGATTGGTACCCACAAAGACAAGAAACCCTCGAGCCGAGCTGCGCCGCCCAGCAGGAGAGAGTGAAGGCTGAAAGGCTTCGATCAAGAATATGAAAATATCAATATATTTGTTGGATATCTAGATTCGCTCAAAAACAATACTCTTCCACATGCAAGAAAATTCCATTCGCCCCCGTTCCTTTATGCACCGCTCTCTCATCACTCAACTTGGCTGTTGAATTCCTAACCTTAGCCACCAAACCCTTTCCACAACAGACTGTTATGGCAGTTTCTCCTCCCGTGATTTCTATTGGCCCTCTGATAAATTGACTAATATCTGGTCTTCCATTCAAATATATTATATCTCTCACTCCCCTCCGTGATTTCTCGCTTGATTTTGCCTCCGGTTTTTTGGCACAGCAACAACCACCCCCAGGTTGAGGAGAATCTCCAGAGACGCGCGATATTTGTTGAGTGGTGATGAGGGATTCTGTTTTATCTGAATTCTTTTCATCGTTATATGATTGCGTTTGAACTTCGTATGGAGATTTCGTCGTCGTTTGTCGTCCCACTGGATCGCGGATTGCAGCAGCATCCTCCTGCCTCTGATGATGAGCTAGATGCAATGGATTTCATCCTTGAATCTCCTTCTTTATCCTCCTCACTTGATTGATATCCTGCTCTTCCTTCTTCGGCTTTTGAGCTAGTCATTGATGCTCCATCGTTGCCAGTGACGGCAATTTTCACAATTAATTGAATACCCTTCTTGTCCGCAAGAGAAGCGCGCTTCTAACCGTTTAGTATAAAAGTCGATGTGGCTACGCTCGCGGACCACAAGAAGGAACTGAATCCGCTGCACACATGTTGGTGTGGGATTATGGAGGATGGATTCGAGGATGGGGAGAGTGTAAGATGCACCAGTGGAAGCGGAAATCAGAAGAATAGTCTCATAAGAGCTCCAGTTCTGCAAGTAAAGTTAGTATGGAATCGTTGGATTTTTGAGGGAGAGAATAATGCACATACTGGAGGTACACCGTAGGGGCCAGAAACAAATGCGGTCAAAATAGCAGTCTTGTCAAGGCTCTGCATTTTCGATGCATAATTGTGTATTCTTCTCGAGAATCCCTTCTGAGCCCGGATCGCAAGTTGGATCTCATTACAATGACACTTATTCGACGTCTGATATGGACTCGCGATAGTAAAGGGATGAGTCTCAAGTGGACCGAGCCTCGGAAGCCACAGATACATATGTTGACCTGCTTTCCATGTGAATGGTGCGTCCTTGATACTGATTATGGTTATATCAGCACTCAAAGCCTGTAACTCCGCTTGATGGCCAACTCTTTGCATTCCTCTGCAAGCTGCTCCGACAACCTTCACTCTGAAATTCCTGACAATAAGTAGGATACCTCTCAAAACCCAGTCAAATGACATGGCCGCCACAGCAAACCATACGTTATACCTAGCATACTCAGGTACGTGTATGTACAACAGCCACAAAAATACTGCTGCGCAAGCAATATGTTGCAACACGAAGACTTCATAAGCCATCCTTCTCAAAGGACTCAAGGAGCTTAAGAAGGTCCAAAGCAATATACCCCATGCGCCCATTCCATACTTTACCATTGGCATAAGTTTAAGCTCAAAGGAGACAAAGTCTGCTCGGACCCATTCCTGAAAGAAAAAGGCACCATGAACCGTGACAGTGAGGAGTAAGGTCCTCGAAACCCAACGATGAAACCAGTTCAATCTTTCATGAGAACTTCCAATCAAGGCTCCAATAATGTTCGACTTGGAAGAAAGTAAGTAGATAAGCGGAACTTGCGTAACTGAGATCCAAGCGCCCCGAAATCCAATGCGTTCATAGTAGTAGGCATCTTTTATTGTGACGTCGTATGTCATCATGAAGATCAAGATTGCCCAGTAGCAAAGAAGAAGAATAGTGCGGCCTGACGAGGGAGGAGATAACCATGAGAGATAAGGAGTTGAAATATGAATTTGAGGATATGATGATTCTCGAAAAATGGCTGTAGCTGTTGCGTATATCTCTTGGATTCGGTTACTCGGTTTGGTGGGATATTTTAGAGAAACTATTTTGCTTCTCCGAAGTCTGTTGGGATATGTTAGCGATCTATAATCTCTCCAGGTCATTGTTGTTGCTCTTGCTCATCTCTGGAACGTTTTCCAAAGCGCTTTCATGATTCCCTTCGGCGCGAGGTCGTTTGGGATGTGGATACTCTATATTCCTCTGAATGCCCACATCCCTCCCATCACAACGGAAGAAAGATGACCGGTCGTCTATCCCATAGCTTGAGTTTCCAAACAATGGATACCCGCAATGATTTTGTCAAATCACCAATAACGAACTTCTCCCACAACTCCAAAGAAGAAGAAGAAAAATCCACTAACCTATCCAATCTCTCCACCTCTCAAAACCCCTACACAGCAACACCGCACCCACAAACCCGGCAATAATATACCAATATCCCAACGCCAACTTCTGATTATAAGGTCTGAACATCATATTCGAACCCATATCCATCCCACCACTCATCCCACTCATAAGTGCGTCCATCTTGTCCTAGATATATCGGCCTTCACCAGAAAATTCGTAAATCGTAATTGTCTTATCTTCCTCTCCTTCTTCAACGTCGCAGCCTTCCCGGCTTCCGAACCAGCGAAAATAATCTCCTTGAAGAAAGTCGGCCTCTCCCCTTTCCAAATGATGAGGCAAGACGAGAATATGTTGATGAATGATTTCCCCACTTATCGTAATCGAATGTTGAAAGTCCGGATCACTTCAATAAATTTCGATGTTCCCGCCAACCTTTTTCGCTATCAACCAATCCTGGGTGTTGTATCTCTGCTCTTCTTTCTTTGATCGATAAGAAGCCTCGTTCGTGGAATTACAATGCAACTATGCACAAAAGTCACCAAACTTTCCTTCCCTCACTTCCGGTATCAATTAATCGCAATCAACCCCAATTCCTCAAGATCAAATCGTAATTAAATATACCAAAAGAGAAAATCCAGTCAATCTTTCACCGTCATTCAAAATCAAGATCCAAAATCCAAAATCCAAATCGAATGATAAGTTTAAGCATTTACTAATTATCAACAGAGGACCAAAACATGTGTATGCCAAGCGACTAAACTCGGCTATGATCCCTGCCAAGTGGCTTGAAATGTGCTCAATTGCGCTCGTTTACCCTATCTTGCTCATGGAAGAAGGGACGGACCACTTTGGATTCTGTCGATGGAGTGTATGAGGAAGGAACCAGAAAACTTGCTCAGCCAATGATATCTGCATATGGGATGGGATATGGGGTATTGAAACCTTTCCGAGGTTGTGACTCGTGAGATGTAATTTTATGGGGAGACGGAATTGTGAAATGGAGGATGAGTGAGGATGAATGAGGATTGGGAAGGAGGGCTCGAGGAGGGGCATAAATATCGTGAGTTTACAATAGTCACGATAAGATTTTACTCATTAGGACACGGGTAAGGTTCTATACTACTTGGACAATTAACCATTGATTCATTGTTGAGCAGCGCAGCATAGCTTGAGTGAGCAGTGAGCATGGACAATGAGCAAGATACGATACTAGACTAGCTCACTAGGTACCCATCTCGAGACTGTGTAACTCTGTCTGGAATAATCTATTTCTCTAGTGTCTCTGACTCTCTGATGTCTGATGCACATAATCCCTACTGGCCCGAACACGTAAAGGAACATCAGAAACCATCCGAAACATTAGAAGAATTAGGAAGGAACTACCCGGAGAAATCTTTCCATCCGGAATTCGAATGGTGGCATACCTAGTACTCACGGGTAGATAGATACGATACTACTGCAGATACCTTTTAGCCACATACCGGACACGATCCATGGATATGTCTCTTGCCTCTTCTTGGCAAGGGGTCCATTCAAAAATAAAAAAAATAAAGATGAGCAAGATATTCCTTTGGCATGGCCCAAGCATGGTCCTCTTACAAACATAATGGCTCGATACGGAATTTGAGCACTTTTTCTTGATATCCAGCAGGGTACTCGAGAGAAGATTAAATAACTTGCTCATCCCCAGGAATTTGGTCAATTTGTAAATTAAGCTTTCACTTTGTATCTTTCTTGGAGCCTCAAAGAATTTCATTTCTTACTTCTACTTCCTGCGAATAATCCCCAGTCCTCCAATATCAACAAAGAGACCTTTCACACAATGGCACGTCTAACAGCTCTTCTCGGTCTTGCTACCGTTGTCTCCCAATGCTCTGCGCATTTTCTCTTAAACTACCCTCCAACCTGTAAGCTCCCCAAGCTTGAACATTGACTTCACAAGAGAAAGGGAAAGAGAAAGCTAACATTTCTTCAGATGGTTTCGACGATGATGCAGAAGGAACTGCGCCTTGTGGTGGCTTTACCGTGGGTTTTGACAATAATGTTACCGACTTCCACGTAGATGGAGACTCAATTGCAATGTTAGTCGCTCACTCTCGAACAATTGCGTACCATGCATCTGTACCATGAACAGTTTTAACATATAACTGAAAATAGGACCTCTACCCATCCATCTACAACATGGTTGTTCAGAGCTATGCTTGGAAATGATACTGCTGCAGCCAATTGGACAAACCTTATCCCATCTGTCCAACAAACTGGTCTCGGTGCTTTCTGCGAACCAACAATCACTGTCCCATCCACATTTGCGGGAAGCCAAGGTGTCATAAATGTTGTTGCTGATGGTCCAGATGGTATGCGAACTTCACTAGCCAATCCCCAGGTCTCTAATCTCTTCCATACACTAACTGTATTCCTTTCTCCAGGACTCCTCTACCAATGCGCCGCCGTATCTTTCGTTACCGGATCGGCAACCGCTGCCCCTACTTCATGCAAGAACGCAACCGGTGTATCGGCAAGCTTTGCTGCTGATGCAGCCCTTTCCAGCCTCCCAGCTTCCGCGACTGCAACCGCCTCCGCGAGTGGAACCTCCGGCACAGCTGCTGCCACCAGTTCTAGCGCGGCTGGAGCTTTGACTGTCGCACCTGTCGCCTATGGTGCTATGGGATCCTTAATGTGGGTTGGAAGCATCGGTGTTGCAAGCTTCGCTGCTTTCTTGTTGTAAATTATGGATGGGATATGATATGAATAACGAATGAACAAATGCGAAATACGCTATAAATAGGATTATATTCCGGAATAATCGAAATCAAAAGAATTAATTAAAAATCACTTGGTGGTCTTCATCTTGTAAATTTGGGCTCAAAGTTCACGGTCCAGACGATTTTTTACTCACCTACGTGCAATAACGAATACCCATGAAGATGACAATCCCGCTTGCAAAATCGCGAACAACAATGACACTTGAAACCTTAGACTGGAATTAGTCCTCGCTGTATATGTGAAGATCACATTATAGACCGTGACAGTTTTGATGCATTAATCATGACAGGCCAAGGAAAATATCCGAATAAACACAGTGTGTGTTCACAGAATGTGCACAAAATAAGCTTAGCGGCTCATGCCAATATATCTGATCTCAAAAGCTTCATCAATTGTGCCGCCAGATCGCCATTTTTCCGACTATCACGGATGTAAACACCCTTCAACCCCGCAATAGGTGGGATAATGATGTAATCTAGTGACAGTGCACAACAAAGTCGAGTCATGATACATCGGGAACATATATTGCATGAGCTTTAATTCATTCTGGAAAGGTAGTGCAGTCTTTCTATATCGCTCTGGTAATCTGTCTATTTGCCGTCCATGTACCCTTCATCCAAAAACGCCGGCTCTCTCGTTTTCGTTCAAAATCAAACTCCAAACATATTGCTATTATCGTAATTCGTGCTCGATCTTAGTGGAACGTTCTCTTGTGATTGTAGGCGTTTCTCTTGTATTTTTAGAAGGCTCTCTTGTGATTGAGGGGCGTTCTCTTGTACTTGTAGAGTGTTCTTTTGTGCTTATAGAACGTTCTCTTGTGGGTGTAGGGCGTTCTCGTGTACTTATAGAACGCTCTCTTGTGGGTGTAGAGCGTTCTCTTGTGCTCGTAGAGCGTTCTCTTGTACTTGATTCGTACCACTCATTAGTCGACCACTCCACTATCAGTTTCTTTGCATCTTCAGATAAAGTATAATATCCTGGATTGTCTTTTGGAAAGAACATAGCTGGGAAATTATTAGCCCCCAAAACTTCAAATCTTCGTGGAAACTTACTCATATGCGCACTTGTCTCATCAGCGGCCTTGTCATTGATCGCCTCTCGAAAGAAATCCTTGGCGCTAGTTTTCGGTAGGTTGCAAAATGTCCTCTGGTTTCCAATCAAACTCCCCACCAAGCTCCCATCAGCTTTACTCACTGCCTCTTTGCCCAACCTTGTATAAAAATTTGCCCAACCGACCTCTAATTCCTTCCGTAAAGTGACCATCCCAGCTACCCTCTTCTTCAATTCTTCACCCTTCATTAGGCATCCCACGAACTCAAGATGTGATCCTACCCATGACCACCCTTCCTGAATTTGATCCTTTTTGAAGTACGCAGCTGCACCTCCAGCAGCAATAGCGCCTGCTGCTCCAGCATACATTGCCAACGTTCCCCATTTCTTCCAGGCAGGTGCTTCTTGAGGCGGTGGTGCTGGTAATGCCGCAACTGGTTTCTTTTCCTCTACCGTTTTGTCTACCTCCTTATCGCCCCATAGTGCACCTGCCAGACTACTCACTTGCGCGAAAGCTGATGTAGCTGCATTGTAATGACCTTCAGCACCGTGCGCAACTACACCTGGCGATATGCCCAAGTAAGGAGTATCGAATGCAAGAACGCCCTGAATATATGGGAACATGAAAGCATTTATTGCATCTGTAGTTTCTTTCGAATCTATCACCTTATCTGATGTGATTGCCAGTGCTGTATCAGCAGCGACGATTCCTCCCATGGAATGACCAATAAGTATCGTGCGGACAGAAGGGTCGACGGTTGGAGAAGGTGTTCCATTTTGGACTTCGATATCAATTACCCTTTTCTTGAAGCCTGTGCAAAATCGATTAGCTTTAGGTTTCAATACTAATTCAAGGGGTGACAATACCAATCTCTGAACCTGCTCACACATTCTCCCAGATCTCCTCGAGTTTCGTATTGCGGATATGTGATCGCGCGAACCTTAACCTTTGGGAGGCCATGGCTTACGAGAGCTCGAAGATGTTCAGGAAAGGATCCAAAAGTATCATCTCCCTTTAAAGCTGACTCGAGGATTAGTCTGTGCGATATTAAAAAGAGTGTCAGCATATCTTTCTTACCCGTGAATAAAGCAAAGAAGTATAGTCTTCTTCATATTTGGTCATTGTTGAAGTTGTTGAAGTTGTTCTCACGGAGAACAACTTTGGATTGCAAGAGCGGGTGTTAATGCAAACTCGCAATGTGACAGGTCGACAGCGAGCAAGCGGCGGGGCGGGGGTTACAGTATGCATAATTCACGGATCATCTACCAAACAGAGCGGAGAGAGAGCCTCAAGATCGCCACGTCATATTTCACACTTCACACCACTTTATGATACTACCTAGGTACATATTGCAACGATCTCGAACATGATAGTAGAAACGATATTGCAATACAAAGACATACATAGGTAGTACTGGTAACAAATGTTTTACAATGATTCTTCATGGAATTGATTCCGATCTACCATTACATTCTTTAGTGCAGTAAAGTTACATGCCGCAATGAAAAATAGTTGTCTACATCTAATTCTAGATATTTTCGAAACATGATATATAACAAACACGTCTCTGAACTCGTTGAGTGCGTTACGATAGAAAACGATCTCCGTGCCTGCTGGGGGGAAAGGCATGAGTGACATGACATACCCGTTGAGACCAAGTCCTTCAAATCACAAAAAAATGAAGGGTTACTAGATTGTCAGATCTGAATTGGAAACTATCCTGATGCCAGGGCATCTTTTAAAATGCAATCTGGTCGCGTTCATGAGGTATCGGTGTAGTCAAGTTACGTAGAACTAGGTATCCTCGTCACGACTGGAAAACTCACATTCAATCGTTGCAGAAGCTAGAGGATGTCATCATCTACATAGTATTTCTCAAAACCAGGGTTGAAGAGCGAGTGAATTCACCTTGAGATCAGCTGAAGCGAGATTCACTTCCAGAATTGTCACCCAAAAACATCGGATACCACAACGACCTAGTAATCTCAAGCAGCCCAGTCCCCAAACCTTGACTTCCTCCCTCCCTCTGTTCCTTTACATAAAACCCAACTCTTCAGATCGACAACTATGAAAGTTGACATAATGAATCAACGACGTTTGTTTGGGGTTGACATGGACTCATTTCAGAAGCTTGTTGATGGATTGGACGTTCAATCGTGCGACGAACTGACAGGAAGACTTCAGGAGGGGGATCAACAACGATATCTTGATGTTTGTAAGAAGTTTGAACCTTGGGGACGGGAAGATCTTATACATCTTGTAAGTTTTGCAAACACCAGATTACAAATGATCAATGTCCAAAACTTATCATCTTTTAGTCAAAAATTGCGCCGCCAAACTTCTTTGTTGATATTATCGCCTTTACAAGTCAAGATCGAAACTTATGCCACCAACTGAAGACACAATCGCGTCCACACAGAGCTCAGAACCAAGTCAATTGGTGAGAAGCGAAAGAATATCAACAAGACATGCAACCTCAATATTATTCCACCCGAAATCAGGGAGCAGGTCTTCCGTCTTATTCTCAAGGATTACTTTGAAGAGTTCCCTGAACGTTCAGTGCTGGTCTACCAAAACTGGATCATGGGACTCTGTAAAAAGATCGTTGTATCAGGAAACGCAGGATTGCCTCTCAAAGATCTTCCTGCCTTTGAAATCGCTTTGATCCCTGATCAGAAGCTCTATCGAGAGTTCTTTGCTTTGAGGATTAAGCAATGTATACTTGAACTTCGTCCTAGCGTTACTTGGAGCCATGTCTATAGTTTCCCTCCCGAAGTTCAAATTGCAGATCCACCTGAGGAGATCACAGAGTGGGTGACCGATAGCTCGAAGAGCAGTTTTGAGTATAAGGCATGGGTTTATTTGCAAGAAAAAGAGCTTGGCCTTCATCCCAACATCGGCGATAGTAATCATAATCTGCCTCTACGTGGTTGGGTTTTGCATTATCCTTCTCTCTCGAAATTATCTCCAACAATGTTGGATAATATTCGCAGTATTACATCATCTTAAGGTTAGTTCTCTTCCCTTCTCAATCCTCTCTCAAAGTCGAGGGCCTATCTTGGCAACGTCAGACCGAGAGACATTCGATATCTAGGTTGTTCTGAATCCACCCTTTCTACTTCGACATGTCATATTGTGCCTTTTGAATTTACAACCCTTCAAACATAATGCTAACAATGTGACATTCACAGCACCGATTACCTTTACACACAGTACATCGGTGCTGAGCGATGGAAAAAAACGCTCTGCTCCTACATTCGACGATCTCAGCTGCGTATGTCTATCTCCCATCCCATTTTCTCTTCAACCAACCAACTAATTTTCCTCATAGAATCTGAATTACGCTACGAACCTAGCCTCCCTCTCTTACATTCTGGGCCATGAAAGACGGGGTTCCGCATTCCCGATCATTCATAACGAGACCCTCCGTTCTACCACGGTCCTTCCAATTGTCCTCCGCTCCCTCGAGAACTCTCTCGCTGTCGAGCCCAAGCAGAGCACTCCAAATACCAACCCTCATTCTTTGATCCCCGCCCCTCTATCCCAGCTCACAACGTTCAGTATCAAGACTTCGAAACCAATACCCCCCCAGAACATGTGGTGGGCCCAAACACTGCGTAGAAGACCCTGCTAGCCTGCGTAAAGGCGCGGAAGTTATAAATAGATTACTGGCAATTTCTCCGGAGATATCACGGATTGCGATGGTACCTGAAATGGGCCGGCGATTAATTAATAAAGGATGGGGAGTTAGTTGTTACCAGTTTGTCTGAGCCGCGGGAGACGGTAGAAAATTGTTGATTTGTGAGAAGACAGAGAGTGAGCAGTTGAACGGTTTGAGTGATACTTTATGGTTCGCTGTTGCAGAAGTTTGTTACTTCTCACTTCAAAAGTTTCTGTTCGCTTTTCGCATCAATAGATCGCGTTTCTCCTTATGAGAATTTTCAAGCATGGCGGGGTTTTACATAAAATGGGCATGTAGATACTTGATACAGAATAGGTACTATAAAGACCTAATTACAATCATGGCGTATTGTCTCGTCACCTAGTGAGTGTTTTGTTCGAAAAAAAAAAAGGGTTCAAACTCATTTCAAAGAATGATCAATCTTTAATTTCATCTATCTATTAATGCATACAACAGCTACTCATTAATCCAACAATCTGCCACTAACCTTACACACTCCCTTTCACACTAATACAATCTCTGAATCACGCACCAATACAACAATTAAACAACAAACTAAAAGAAAAGGCTTTTCCAATTTATATCTCCTACTTCTCATTCCCCTTCCTCCATCTCAAATCAACCATCATTTCTCATCTCGCACCCCTCTCACTGTCTTCAAACCATTAACCGCTAACAACAAGATCGTCCACATACAATCCTGGTGAATCGGTAGCCCCGCTATCACAGTAAGAATGCACTGTCAAAGGTACACTCTGCACTCCATCTCCGACGCTTCCAGGAGCAGTGAAGAAGAGATAGATCATGCTCCAACCAGGGTAAGTGGAGGAGTTGATGAGAGTGGTGAGGGAGGATTGCGTGGGGGTTTGAACTAAAGAGAAGGTTAATGATTTGTTCGGAGAAAAAGTGGGGAACGGAATGTTAGAGGACTTACGATAGATGTAGCAATTGGATGATGATTGATGCTGAGGTTGTTACTTGCTTTCACGTAGCCGGTAAGGAGATAGTTGTACGAGGGACAAGCGGATACGGTTTGGGTTAGAGTTATGTATGAGGTAGCTGAGGATGATGGGAAGAAAAGTAACTCCCTGGAAAAGGAAGTGCAAGGATTAGTACATGTATCTGTCTTTTGGGGACTAGAAAAAACTCACAAACTGTTAGATCCACTATGAGGAACGGCTGCAGTGGTGTAACTTGGCGCGTTGGGTCCTGTAGCCACTGCTTCAAAAGGCTCGATACCATTTCCACTTTCGAATCCACCATTGGTCAAAGTAGGATGGATAGTACAGGCTGGAGGTGACACAGTAGTATATTGTATAACAGTCGTGGTACCTAGGCTAACCACGGTAGTTGGTACTTGGACGGTGGTTATGACGGTCGTTGCAACAGTAGTGGCTTGTGTAAATGTTGATAAAACGGTCGTGGTTTGGCCTCCAACTGTACTAATAACGGTTGTGGTTATTGTGATGGATGAAATGGAGGGTAGAGGTGCGGAAGAGGTTACTGTGTATATGCTTGTCGATGTGGCTGCAGAAGAAGGAAGTGCTGAAGTTACGAATGAGGAAGAGGGTAGCAAAGTGTATGTGGTGGAAGCTGCGGTACTGGAAATTAAGCTCGAAGCTGAGGAAAATTCAATTGAAGTGCTAGGTTCAGCGGATGTGAGGGAAGTAAATATAGAACTTTCGCTCTGGATAACACTGCTTGGTTCCAAAATTGATGTCGATAACTCCGGAACGCTTGTCGATTCGGAGGAAACTGGCACAGATGATACAGATATACTGTTTGATACTGTAGGCGTGACATAGGCTGAGAAGGTTTCTGTGGAGGCTTCTGAGACTACCGCGGAAGATTCAACTGAGGTCTGGATTGCCGAAGAAGAAGGTTCTGAAATAACAGCACTGCTCGAAGTATAGGCTGGAATTGAAGTGGATCCTTCCGTGATTATCGAAGAAGGCCCCAAAGTCGTTACAGGAATAACAAGACTGGTTGATGGAAGCGAAGGCTCAGAAGAGAATGACGAAAATACCAAGCTTTCGGTAGAAGAAAGGGTTCCCAAGAATGATGATTCGAGCGTGGAAGATTCAATTGAAGAGACAGGACTAGGACTTGTGTAAGTAGCAGCTACACTGCTGGATGCTGATGTACTGGTCAGGATCTCGGAGCTGTGGAGGCAGATGTGAAGCCAGGAGTCGAATATACACCACTGCTGGGAGGTGCGGAAGAAGAGAAAATTGGACATTCTGAGGCAGTGACAGTAATAGTCTCCTGAGTGGGACACAAGGATAATGTCGCTTGTCTTTTGCCAAATTCGTAAGCAGCGGAAGATTCAAAGATAGAAAGCGCAACAAGAACAAATCTCCGAGAAACGAACATGATGTCAAAGTTCAACGTTTAAAAATCAGGAAATGACAGACAACGAAAGGCGCGGACAGCTCATGAAAGAGCTCCACAAAGGGTTTATGTATATAATATCGAGCTTATCCTCAGCTGTCATTTGAAATGAGACACATACGCAAGAAATCAATAAACCCCCTTGACTTTCTTTTACAATTTCGAAAGGTCTCAAAAAATTAATCATTTGGAGCTCAAACAGGCATTTAATGCAAGGAACAAGATATGACATGGTGGAAATATTGAATGCTGCGAAACACCATATTGGTATACGAATACCATATTGCCATATGGGTGTAGAGCTACAAACCTGGTGTTGAGCACTTATTGTAATTCTCGTGATTGCGTCCTTCAGATATTGCTGGCAGATATTCACATTGAATCTCTCACTTTAGTCATTTGATCTACCTAATATGATCCGAGCGTGCAAGATTCCGTAGGACAATGAAAGATTTGATATTGAAGCATCTACTTTAACTGTTGAGGTACAACCATGTTGACCAAAATTACTTTTGGCGAGTAAAGTTGATTATGAATTTGTCTCAAATAAGGCAGCCTCACTCCCTGAGAGGAGTCGAACGAGCATAACTTTTCCGGGTTATGGTATTATTACGGGAAATTGCACCTCCAGGCTCACTGCCTCGGGCGTCGGCGGAGAGCTTCAATGTGACCTATTACATTTGATATCAAGATCGGTTATCTTTGCCACAACTTTACTTTTTCCCCTCAAGCCTCGCACAAACTGTGAACTTTCAGCTTTCCTTACTTCTCAATATCCAACCTTCTATCTTTTCAACCCCTTTCATATTGCATGAACGATAGATATGCCTCGCAATCGCAAAGGAAATGGAATCTTTGACTCTTATGGTTTGCCAAAACCTATCATTGAAGTCGTGCAGACTACTGCCAAAACGACTGCTAGCACAAGTACCAGCACCAGCACCAGCACCAGGCACTTGATCGAGTATTCGGCGACACCGAACCAACCTTCAAGTCACAATGAACATACATTGAGACAGAGCACGTTGATGCCAAAGCTAGCAGATGGTTTGGCATATAATATTCTGAGAGACCACCATCATTGCAACATATTTCGGCTTTGAAAAGGACGTGCAAATTTATGGCAGAGTACTTCAAGCAAAACTCGGTCAACTCTTTTTCTCCAGCACCGCCTGTTAATAGTGATGAGATAGTCATTGCGAATGTGAATGGTAGAATGCTATTCGCAGAACCAATAGCAACCTACAAAAGTGATGGTACAGGCAAAACCTTTGGATTCATTCGTCTCAAGGGCGAGAGGGTTAAATTCAAAGCAGCAAGTGGTTGGGGAAGAAGAGAGTGTGACGATTCATTAAGGGACAACGAATTTTGCTCAGCTGTAAGTTTCATGAGTTCTGTTGGGGAAAGTATTTATGTTCTAGTTGTGAGAACTGGACCACAGGCAGTACTCTTGTTTGTTCCATGCAAGGTGATGCTAATCTATCGACTTTGTAGCAAGTATTGCAATTTTTGCAATTATTTAGGCTTCAAACTTCGAAGAAATTGCTGGGACAAAACTGAAATCGGAAGATATGCGGCCTGCCATGTTGAGAAGAAGCTCATACTGATGCTTGTACTGGATTTGATCTACGACCCAGAGACCGGCGATATTGCAATGTTTAGATTAGAAGAACTTTGGAAACTAAGACCGCCGCTCCGGGCACAAATCTACATCGATAAAGACCCCTGTGAGGGTTGTATAAATTTTGCCACTATATTGAGGGATTCGACGGGCATCGAATTCGAAATAATTGCTGCAAAAACTTTCGTGGAAGCAGAGTGGGTGAAGGTGAATGGGAAAAAGCGGCTCCGGGGAAAGCATACTGCACAAAATGGACAATCTCGAATAACGAAGTACTCAATGCCCAAGGCAAATAAGTCAGGGAAGACGGTAGACAACAGCATGCCTGAGGCTTCCCCATCTTGGAAAAGCAAATCTGAAGGGAAGCGGAAGAGATTGTTGGACGATTACGATGACGAGTTTGATGATGGATCATCTATCTTCCATGCCAATGATTTGCAACCAAAGGCCAAAAGATCATACGGTCACCCTCGAACTGTCGATCAAGTCAACGAATCGAAGTCTAACTCATCTGCCCTTCATTTGAGGAGGCAAACCCCAACACACAACGTGCAGAAAGATCTTTCTAGCAACACGCACTTGCCTTCAACTAAACAACGAAGCACAAAAGTGGATATGAAGTCCACGAATTCTAGCCTGCCTTTGAATTCGATTAAATACGCCAAAGTGCCTCCACCACGAGGTACAGCAGTGGACCATTACTCTACTTCAGTAAGGAGTGGCAGGCTGCACGGCCATGCTGTACCTTCTGAGCGATCACGAGCAATAGCAGAGTTTCAGCAGGCAAAAAGGAGTTTACTTTCCAAGCCTGTAGATCGCAACTTGCCAAGCCGTCGCAACGTGCCATCCATATCTTCACCCGCCCAAACAGAGTTTTACACAGCATCTGATGATTTAGATTCCATGAGCTTGAGAAGTTCGAGAACAGCTTCACCTGACAGACCTGCGGATGTTTTACCTACCCCAGAAATAACGCCTCCGACAAGACATGCAAGAGCTTTATCCTCAAACAGATTAAGGCGACGGAGCCTGTCACCCCTTCAAGATCTGCCCAGAGCTCACGTGAACGAAACCTGAGCAAAGCTGCAACTCATAGCTCATCATCATCAAGGCAAGCCAGTTCCAGGAGCATTGATTTGACTACTCCCGAGCCATCGCCATTCTTAAAGATCAAACACTATAAATACACACCACCTTTCAAATCCAGTAGAGATCACTCAGAGAAGAAGGCTGCTCCTATCCCATTCAAGCTTTCCTATAACCTCGATTAAATTTTGACTCAATCTTCATTCTTTCTCAAACATCAAGGTACTTAATGTATAGTAGACTTTTCGTATATGTATATATCTTACAATCTATCTAAATACGTTAGTTTAGATGAAAGACATGGCTGTCCAAGGTACCAGATATCGCCTCTTACGGTAGATGTCAGCGTCGATTGTCTCAGCCCGTTATTTTCCCCCAAATGCAGGAACTATAATTAAATGATAAATTATTTGCAAAATGTGAGGAGCCCCATGCGCTATCCATTATTTTGCTTTGTTTGTAAAATATTGAGCCGGATATTTGATAATTCGAGCTGATTCGCAAAGAGTGATTGTAAATCGTCGAGACGGGTAACAAAAGACGATCTGAGACCATCCATTCTGATTTGACCTACTTCTTATGATTTTAGAGGATCGAGTTGGCTTATAACCAAGGGTATACTCCCGGGCGCGGTAGTGACCTTCATCCAGGCTGGGTACCAAGTCCTTTCTGGCTTGCATGCATACGTAGTTGTACTCGCATAGATCCCGGACCCAAAGGAAGGAGTGATTGACTACTGGTAAACAACCCACATACACCTATCTGCCATTATTCGTGCTAGTTGCATCCACAACCTCCTCTTGATCTCTTGATGGTGTTCCTTTGGCTTACTAGCGTGGAGGGCCTTTTCGCTTCGCTCTCACATACACCTGCTGAACGACCACGCGTATTTAAAGAATGGAGTTGACGTTGTGATCGTCGCAATTCCAACTCAATACATTTGTAACGCAGTCCGCGATATATGCTAATACTAATACGAAGTAGATACTCTATCGGAATGTACATACCTAGCACCCATCAATAGGGATTCATTGCATGAGACACAAAATAAGATCTTTGTGTTGTTCGACATATTTTTCGTGCGAGTTGGTAGGTTAATCTGAGCAGCATACTCATGCTCCGCACGATGTAAGTACTGTACTCGTAGAACAAGTAGCTGGAATCCACAACTGAGGAGATTTGGCCAATGGAGACAAAGGATTTTAACACGAGCCCAAAAAAGAGAATTCAATGGGGAAGGACCACCAAGCTCCATATCAAACTGTCAATCAATCAATCCATACCTATCCATAATACTGGGCGAGTCACGTAATCTCTAATCGCAATCGCACAAAATAACCGCACGCGGCACGCCTTGGAGAAAAATGTGTATGTACACCACCAGTACAAAGTACGCACATTAAAAAACCTTGATAGGAGCACTAGAAAAAATAAGGAGATCCCCCCAGAGTCAGCTACGGATTTTCAGACACCGTCTCCCGAGAAGAGCCACGTTCCTGTCTGTCTCATCTGCCATAATCCAATTCCCCTCGATTGTCCGGGAAATGAGCATCGATCACTCATTTGAGTTCAGCTTCCACAGAGCAGCGTGACAACGTTATTGGCTATGAGTACTTTGACTACATCCAGAAAGTAAATCCCCGATAGGACTTTGCTTTTTTGTCAGACCCCAAAACACATCTGGGGGTTACTACAAGAATGGCAGCTTTCTTGTTGCTGCTATCGCTATCGTTATGTTCCTTATTTCCTCTCATTCTTGCTTTACCAGGTAACAGCGTTTCGCCGTTGTCAGACTCCTCTAGCAAACTAATCTTACCAATACAGGCTGTTGCAGCCAGTGCAAGCCGAGTTTATACCAATACAATCCAGGGAAAGTTGAGCAGTCGGGATATGGTGCAAATTGCTCTTCTGTGTAGTGCATTTCCTGCTTTCTGGTATCTGCGAAATGGAAGGAAGAGCAAGGCTTACAATGACACGAAATCACTCAATGGAAGTGCACATGGAACCATTCCTAATCAGAGTATAGATATCAATGGTGAGCTCTGTCGCAACGCTCACTCTTTCCGCAAAATAGGGAATTGCTGGGCAAGATTACTGATTCATTGGATTTGTAGATTCCGAAGTTGTCGACCCAGGACTTTTGAAAAAACATTCTGAGATAAAATCCTACACCACGAGTCGTTTCACATATCCTTCACTCCGAATTTTCTTCAGCAGACATGCTCAAGCCGACAAGCTACCTACGAAACCTGCCCCACTACCTCTACTAGTTTTTATCCATGGTCTGGGAGGTTCAGTTGCGCAATTTAACCCTCTATTAACAAGCCTGGTGAATTTGGCATCATGTCTTTCAATCGACCTACCAGGCTGCGGCCTCTCTGCATTCGACCCGAAATTACCTTGGGATGCTTATACTGTGGACGCTCTTGCAGAGCTTGTGGGGAGAGTCATTGAGGACTATAGAGAGAAGGATGCGAAGCAGGGTGTGGTTTTGATTGGACATAGCTTGGGTTGCTCTATAGCCGCCTTACTTGCGTCTACAACGTCGCCACAATCAATTGCGCTATCAGAGAACGTCATGGGACTTGTTGTAAGGAATTGAATCATATGTAAGGTATATTGTTGCTTACTAATCAAACATTTAGGCCATCTGCCCTCGCGCGGAACCCCCTAGTGAAGACGAGGTTAGTAAGTTTAAGAAGCTACTTTTGGTCCCGAATCTCATTTTTGATCTTTGGCGAAACTGGGATCGGCGAGGTGGCCCCGAGAGTGCTAGTGTGCATAGATTTGTTGGCCCTTCAGCAGATGACGAAACCAAAAGGCTTCAAGAACGATTCAATAGCCAGAGTAAAACCGCAGTATGGAGGAGAATGGCAGCTGGCACTTTGCCCGTTTATGAAAACCACATTGCGAAAGGTGGACTTGCGGGCAGAGATGTCTGGAAGGGGCTGGATATGCCTGTCTTCCTTGTTGCTGGGGCAGCTGATAATATCACAAAGCCTGGGGAAATTGAAAAGATCGCCCAATTTCTTGGAAAGTCTCACCCGGTCCAAATTGACCCCAACGATAAAAGTGAGCCTATAGTTGATGCAGCTGCGCCTGTTGATCTGTCTGAGAAGAACAAATCTATAAGCAATGGTATCAATCCCTCAACTGAAGACCTGCTTCTCGAAGAAACACCTGATACCGCTGTGGAATCGCTGGAAGACCCATCAACACCGAATGATATTGAAAGAATCGAAAACATCCCTCCGCAACCTCTCAGACCGAAGCGGGTCCTAAAAACGACAATCATTCCAGCCCCCGCTTCGCATGCTTTGCTCTACATGCCATCCACTGTGAGAACCCTTGCAGGTCTTATATCTGATTTTCTTTGTACCCAAGTGTCACCTCGGTTATCCTTGGGCTGGCAACTACAATTTCTCTCTACTTCCGGCAAATGGGATGTGAAGAATTTGGCAAAGTGGCAAGCAGTGGCGCCTGTTTCAGAGCCTATCGCGGGTGTGTTTCGTGCCATGAAAACTTTGAGAGAGGTAGATGATAGCCATTGTCCAGAGGTCTTGTGAAGATTGGGGCGAGCAGATCAAGGATATTGTGGATATTAGCCACGAAAGTCCGGTGTACGATCCACGAGGTCTTGAAAAGGGCGGAATACGATACCACAAATTCCCGACGGTATCTAAAATCCCACCCACATCTGACGAGGTTGTCACCTTCATCAATTTGATTGATCGGCTAAGAGATGAGCAGGCGGCAAGAAAGGAAAAGGGAGGGGCTGAGGGTGAGTGGTTTGTGGGGGTCCACTGTCACTATGGCTTCAACAGAACTGGATATTTCATTGTATGTTATCTAGTGGAAAGGTGTGGGTATGGAGTTCAAGGGGCGATTGATGAATTCGCTAAGAGAAGACCGAAGGGCATTAAACATGCTCACTTTATGGACCAGCTATTTGTTAGGTACTGCGTGGGGTTAAAAAGAGCGCCCACACTCTAGAGGCACAATGGTTAGTAAAGATGCATTGATTTTGGGTGCATCGAACCAGATGCTGTACGACGAGAGCTAGGAGTCTTGAATTGTATTGATAAGACTGGGAAACAGGAATCGCATTTTTTATGATTGTAAATACCCATTACGGGTACGATTCGAGGTTTCACACAGTCAGATGGACGGACTTTCATTATCTTAAAGTCATTGAATGGGAGATGTTCCCTAGTTATCAAACAGCATAATTTTTCTCTAGTTTGCGCCCAAACAGATGGCAAAGGCGGAACGACAGAATTTCTAGATATGCAACAGAGGCACGAACTTTTGATCCCTCATCTGAAAAAGCTACAAGTCATCTGCTTGCAGGACTACTGTGCGACGAGGATTAGGGGTCACGGACTAATATATTGTGTGCAGTGTTATGTTACACAGCTTCTGTGGAAACAACATAACATGATTACTTCATCGTATCTTTTCAGCTGTCTGTAAGATGAGCGATGTGGTGGAATGATGAGAGTGGGGGCTGGGCTGAGGTTACAGTTGTGTTGCGCGAGGTTGATGGGGGATTCAAGTTCGATGCGGGTGACGATGCAGTTCCCGGGAGAGCCCCGTACCGATGGTAGTTATTATTGGAGAAATGGATGGAAGACTAGTTTAGACGTTGAAAAGACGCTTAGCAGGAACGTCAAAACGGGGGGGGGGGAATCATCCTAAGAGCTGAGGGGAATAAAGCCAATAAAGAGGAATCATTTTGGGGTCGGTAGGAAGAAACATGTTTTCAACGTACTTTTTATTTCTAAAGTTACTTTGCATTCTCGGATTCTCAAAAAGGCATGCAAAATCTCAATAAGATTAGAAGTTAAGAACGTCATGAATATAATAATGAATGTGTAGATCCAATATGGAAAACTAATATGTGGACTCTTCTCTTGACCCTAGAGAGACGACAATAGCAATGGGTCTAGAAATCGTCAGAGAAAACTTCGATTTCAATCCTATGAGCGGTAAACTGTGATGAGCTCGAGGCTATCGATGAAGTCCGCACAATATATTGTGGCTCTTCCCCGTAAAGAATTTAAATTAACTTTGAAGATCCATAAATTTAGAGGACCTTCATTAGTGGGAAACAGTCGGCTGAGTTGTCGGATTCCGACTATTACCCATCTATTGTCCATCTCTTGTCCATGTGATGTTAAATAAGGGACGTTGGCACGTTCGGTGAAGTCTAAAATGCGTAAGGCTGTATGTACCTGGCGTGTAATGTGGAAGAGTCTACCGGTCCACGGGTGACTTTCAAGATGCATAACTTGCATAATTCGCATAAATATTTCCATTGCAGTGCTAGCTCAAGGCTGTGACCGACGTCACCTCACTGATTGGTCAATCGTTCCGTTCTTTAACAATTAATCTCATACACAATTTCGTTCATCGCATGCTTAGGTACCGATACTTCCAAGATCGCTCTAAGCAGGAAGTTTAATATTGCATTTTCTCTCTCTCCTGCAATGTTCAATTGCTGTCGAGATCAAGTTAAGATATTCTCATTTTCCTTCTTTATCTTCCTTAATTGATTCCAACAATGTGCACATGAATACGAGCATATAATAAATTGACGTGTTGCGGGGAAATCAAACCTCAGCCTGATTGATAAGATGGCCACTGAGGATGTTTCCGTGAATGGCGAGTCGCACACGGAGAAAAGAGATGAAGCATCCCCTGATCTCTCAACTGAGAGAGCTGAAAATGATGCGAGACCAATCTCAGATGGAGTCTCGAAAAGAGGTACCGGACAGACTGAAGTCAAGGGTAAGGAGAAGAAGCCGTCCAAGTTGAAGGGAATATGGGGGAAACTTGGACTCGATGCACCGACATTGATGATGATGTTCAAGTATGATTTGGATCCATTCTCAACCGAAAAGATGCTGATGTACGATCTAGGGGATCCGTAGCTCCTACAATTGCTGTTGGCAAGTCAACTGAAGCCTATCTTACGTTCCTAACCCTAACTTTTATGTAGCTTTCTACGAATCCGATTCGGTCGCTCAAACGTACACAACTATAGGATACCTGGTAGCCATTATCTGCGTCATCAGTCTGCCTATTATGCCAAGGGCCAAATTCTTCCAAACCATGATACTCAACCTGATTGCCGTCTGCATTGGGGCTTCAATTGGAATGCTGGGACTATGGAGCTGCATTAAAGCACGAGAACACACTTCCACACCGGGAGTGCCACAAGCGTATAATTCTTCGCAGGCTGCTGTGTGCGCCATCTGGTTGTTTGCTAACATATGGTTTGCGAATTTGTTACGCGCCAAAAGTCCAGCCTTGAATGTTCCGGTCATTATGTATAGCATATTTTCAAACATTGCTTTCACTTATGGTCCTCTTTTCTCTACTGTGGCATCAGCCGAATCTCTCATCAAACAGATGATAAAGGCGTTTTTGACTGCCTTTGCTATAAGCACGGCGGTCAATGTTTTTGTTATACCCGTCTCGTGTCGTTTGGTAGTTTTCAAAGGCCAAGCGGGATACATTCAATTGTTGAGGGGCGTTCTCAAGGCTCAGACAACATATTTGCAAAGCTTAGAGGAAAGTGACATGTTCGCTGCTCCAGGTTCTGAGAATGGTGATACCCCTGGTGATTCATCTGACGGGTCCAACAAAGGCAGTGCAGGATCTTCCCATCCAACACTGTCTCCGGAAGCTAAGGCACTGAAGGGAGCAATCGATGGTCTGCGTGGGTTGCATGGAAAGCTTTACGGAGATATGCCATTTGGAAAGCGGGAGGTCGCCTGGGGTAAATTGAGTGCTAAGGATATCGACAAGATATTCAACTTGTTCCGGGACATAATGATTCCATTGCTGGGAATGAGTACCATCACAGATATTTTTGTACGAATCGGCGAAAGACGCGGATGGGTCAAGTCCACGGGTTCAAAAGATCGTTCCGAGCAATGGGAACACATGCCCTTGGAAAGTAAGACGGAAGAAAAGAGGTTATGGAATGAAGTGATGAAGACTCTCCACGAACCATTTGCTATCGTGACTGCAGTTATGGATCAAGGATTAGAACATGTAGCACTTACTTTGGAGCTTGTTCCTCGACCGAAAAAGAAAGCCGCTGTTGACGTTGAGACTGCTGATGCACAATCAAAGCCTGGCGATGCCGGATTTCTCGCCTATATGGAACAGGCTTTGAATGATTTCTATCAAAAGCGCGGAGCAACTTTGAAGAAATGGGCACATGAAAAAGGTTTGTCTGCAGAACAATTCGATACAAGTAGACCAATTCCTCCTGCAGGTGCACCTGTCAGTGGAGACGAAGCCGCGCATAGAAGAGACCAGCAGCAATTATATCTTATTCTTTTCATGGAAAATCTTGTACGTTGTAATGAATCTGCTCCTATAAAAATGCTAATCAATCTAGCTTTACACGGCTGGTCTCGCAGTAATTGAGTTAGTGCGGTTTGCAGATGGAAAAGTAGAAGATGGAACCATGAAGAAGAATCGTCTGATCCTACCAGGTCAACGGCGAATAAAAAAATGGATTTTTTGCCTTGCAAATGCAGATACGACCGTGGATAGTAACACTCCGGATAACCAAGAGGCAGGTGTAAACAATGTCTACTTGGGCGCAGGATTCAATCCTCGGAAAGATCCTGAACATTTGCCACCAAAGACTGCCTGGCAACATTTTGGAAATGGGCTTAGAACTATCCCGAGGTTTTTAGGAAGCGCAGAATCAGCATTCGGCTTTAGAGTGGCCTGCGCAACCTTGACTTTGGGTATTGTTGCATTCCTTGAAGACACTCATGTCTTCTTTCAGCAGCAAAGATTAGTTTGGGCTTTGATCATCATTGCAATTGGTATGTCGATAGTCCGGTCTTGAGCCTGTAGAGAAGCTAATCAAAATAGGTATGACGATGACTTCAGGCCAATCGATATTTGGATTTCTGGCTCGTGTTGGGGGAACTGCACTAGCAATGGTCAGCTCGATTGTCATCTGGTATATTGTTGATCAAAAGACTCCAGGAGTTATCGTGATGCTTTGGTTTTTCATATTCTTGGAGATGTATCTTTTCTTGAAATTTCCTCGCTTGATACCAGCCTGGCTCGTGTTCATAGTCACTCAAGTATTGATTGTTGGATATGAACTTCAGGTTAGGAAAATTGGAATTGTGGCATCAACCAGCAATGGACAACCTTATTATCCGTTAGTTACTTACTCCGGTTGAATTGAGACTTTCTAACTTGAGGACAGGATTTATGAGCTTGCCCCATATAGACTTGCATGTGTTGCAGGTGGCTCTTTTGTGGCATTCATCTGGACTTTCTTTCCTTACCCGCTCACGGATCGTAGCTGGTTAAGAAAAGATTTGGGAGCGACCCTATACATCTTGGCGAACTACTACTCAACAGTTCATTCAACTATTCATACTCGAATGCATGGAAGAGAAGGCGATATGACATCGAAGACTAGTCCTGGTCGTCGCCTTGAGAAGGCTAGACATAGGATGTTTGCCAAGCTTCTCCTGCTTCTACCTTCTTTGCAGCAACATGCTGCTTGGCAGAAATTTGAGCCTTCGATTGGAGGGAAGTTTCCTCGTGAAACTTATGAAAATATCATAAAGAGTTCCTCAAAGTAAGTGACACCATATTTTGGAGGTGTGCGTATGCTAATTACTGATTTTCAGTATTATGGGCTACCTCGCGTTGATGTCGTATACAACAAAAGCCTGGTCCAAAGATAATCATACAAATACCGATACCCGTAGCAAATGGCTTCGTGACCTCGCTACTGTTATGGAAGAGGTTGAACCTACCAGCCATCAAATAACCTCAACCCTTGCGCTCCTGTCAGCTGCGATCAGTGCAGGCGTTGCCCTTCCCCCTTTCATCCAACTTCCCCAATCTTATGGCCTGAATCGTCGACTTGAAGCTCTTGATAGTGGAATACTAGATTCGAGACATATCCAAGAGCCGGGA